GGGGGGGGGTGTTGTACCTTCTCCACCCTTGGCTTTTCTTCCTTTTTCCCCTAAGTGCAGGACCCATAGTCTCATCTGGTGTAATTCTGTACCTCACACCTGCTTAGGAATAGTAGCTTTGCTACCCGCTTACTTGCTGCTTGTGCTAGGATGGGAAAGAAGGAAGGGGGAAGTTCAAGAGAGTGCATCTTCCATCTATCTCACCTCCTCCTAGATTATGCCAGAAACCCTTTTCCCTCTTGCAGGCAGGCAGGAGGCAGACGTGGGCAGGTGCCCGTCCTCACTCACACAGGCAGAGCAGTTTTCCTGATGTAGCATGGGTCGGCTGTGCCTAGGAATTAGTGGGTCTGCTCAGAATTACACCAGCTTTGAACTGCAAACTGGGAAGTACAGCATCCACCACACCTGTCTGTACAAGGAAATCGGAGCAGGGCACAGTTAATCTGTAACTGTTTGTGAAAATAAACTGCAGGAGGGAAATATGTCAATGATAAAATCCAAGTGTATGTTACCATGATGACAGGCAGCAGAAAATTTCTCTTGAAGTAGAAAGTGCTTATCTAGAATTTAGCGTAGAGATAAATAACTAAAAAATGCAAGCTGCTGCCTCAAACAATCCTGATCAGAACACAGCATGTAGTTTGATTTAAATTAATATATGGAACAACTTTCCTCATATTCTAATAACAAGGACAGTCCCTACTCAAGAGCTTGATCCTTTTCTTTGCAAGTGAGGCAGCCCAGTGGAAGGGACAAATATTCGCCAGGTTAAGATGTGAACTGGCATATTCAGGAAAAAAAAAAACAACCCACTATTATTTTGTAAAGTGTTATCAAATCCATATAAAGTAACACTTAAGAACCATCACCTTTTGCTTTGCTTTGTCTATTAAACTAACTGCACCGCAAGAAAATGTGGCCAAAGAGGATTGTGCTTTGTCCTGCATTTGCTGTTTATACGCAGAAGCTCGATCGCTGGTTCTGAGTAAGAATAAAACACGTTTCTCAAAAATATGCAGAACTTAAAGGGCTACAAGTAATGCCCTCCTGTCTGAAGTTTTAAATTGTTACTTTCCAAAATCAGTTAAGCATTAAATTTATGAGGGACAACTATCCCCACTGACTAGCGATTAGAATCCTTCCAGTGACTTGGAGAATCCAGCTGCTTCTTAAAGCTGAAATAATTTTCCAGTGAGTTATTCTGACACGATGAACCTCAGGAGAGCAGGTCTACTACTGCTCTATATAGCACAGTGCCAGCAAATTCAAGAATGACCATTTGTCCCACAGGAGGCCAGATGAGAATTATAGTTGTAGCAAAATCACACAAAATGATCCTCCACTTTAATACACTCTCCTGTGAATTAGGTCTATATTGTAATTACCTAGTGAAATCCAGATTTGACAGGGCATGAATCACACTCACCCTTTTAATATAGAGAACACAATGCATTCTAGACTATATTCTATAAGCAGCAGCTGTGGCTAAAGCCTTGCTGTAACATATAACTAAATAGTTTCACATACAAGGATATACTTATGCTAGATTTTGCTTTAATATATATGACCTGACTGTTTGTTACCACATAATAGTTTATTAGATCTTTTAAATGACATTACAAAGAACCTAAGGCTGGTATTACAAAGTATATTGATACATTTCCTGTGTTCACAAAATTCCCGTTATTATGAGCTTTCAGTACAATTTCCCCTGTTTTGAAAAATGACCTGTCATATTGCTTTGGTAACACCCAGGCACTAGCGTGGTGGCGTTCAAAGAGCAGCCTTAAGCGTGGTCCGTGTAAAACTGCTGACTGCCACTAGTGCTTACTTAAATTTATATTTCCAGCTGGAGGAGCGCTGCAATGATTGTCAGTAATATCCCACACTGGTCATTTTTCTTCACAAGTGACATAGTACAGACTCTTTAAATACACTTTTCATTGCCAAAATACTCTAATGTAATCCATTAAACTCCAGGCCCACGAAGGTGGATATCATTATAAAAGCAAACACCTTTCTAAACCAAATCTTTTTGAACAGTTCCAGCTAGTTGTTACTCAATGAGGAGCAAGGGCTTTACAATTCTAACTGGATCCTCTCCTTTTTTGGTTACTCAGTGTATCACTGCTTTGTTAGCAAATTTGCGAGCCAGTGATTTGAACTGAAAGCCCACAGACACTCCTGCAATCCCATCCCTATTCTGTGCACTATCACTATTCTAATCATAATTATAGTTCAAAGGTGATGCTAAATGACATGTCTGTTTCAAAGTAGTTTTACAGCATTAAAAAAACTTAAATCCCACAGTGGGATTTTTTCATAGTTAATAGTTCCTTGTCTGTCTAAATGTAACAGATTTGAACGGCAGTGGTTGCTCAGCTGTGTACTGATGTCTCTAGTGTTTAATCTCTGTTTCTGGTTTATGTTCTAGGAACACACAGGTAAGGTAATACCAGAAGACGACAGAATTTTGCTGTTCAGTGTCTTATGTTTCCAAAATCACCTTATTACATTTATGAGAAAACAACACATAGTCCTCAACTAGTTAAGTGATGATGCTTAGAGCTAAGATTAATGCTACGTTTCAATCTTGTGCTTCACTCCACAAAATTACATAGGACAAGTTAATATTTCCATTCCATAGGACTCACTAGATGTTTAGCTATCAAAAATGAAACATCTAGAAAAAGTGTAAGAAAGAGAAAAAAGTGACTTCACAAAAATATATACCCAGTAGTTGAGATCCATAAGATCTGTTTTAATAACACAACTAATTGATCCTCATAACAAGAATTCAAAGTGAAATTACCGTACACAAATCAAAATATAAACTAACCTATCCCTAACTATACAATATACATTAGGAATGCAAGCTCTGTAACAATATAAAAATGCTTTTACACACAGTAGTTGCAAAAAGCTGTTCTGCAATTCCAAGGATTTGTAATTAAAAAAAAAAAAAAAAAAAGGAAGTCTTCCGGAATTCATCTTAAGTTATTGGCAACCTGTTGGGGAAAAATAATTTTAATAAATATATTGCTGAGAAGAATAAAGAGAATCGTGCTCATCAGAAATTTTCATGTGTGGGGCTCAGGCTATGGGAACTATGGGTGCAACGAAGCTCATAATTTCTATTTCTGTCAAAGTATCACAAAAATGAGGGACCTTAACAGGCAAGACATACCCATTTCAAACATGCACGCCTACCATACAGGCTGCATAGTATTCTGGATGTGACCTCAGAATTTCAAATGCCTTTCTTAGCTACCTTAAAAATAACACAATACATCTAGTACTTTATTAAGCAGCTGCCTTCCATGCATTACAAAAATCAAGCTCTATACAAACTGAAGTGAAATCTTAGTGCTAATACATTATAGTTCAGCACCACACAACCACCTTGTTTATGCTGTAACAGTTCCAGTACTCGAGCACTGCCCCCCACCTTCTGAAATGCATTTAACAATTGTAAATGCTGGGTGTGGTGTCACCTGACCACATTTTTCTACTGAATTTTGAAAGGCTACTTGCCAAGCAGATGAAACATCTACTTCTCCAATGTTTTTGTGTAATATAGGGAGAGGTTATCAATTAAGAAATTACAGAATAGATACTATCATCACATTTATCTCTCAGTAAGAAATTTCTTTTTCCAGGGAGCGTTGCCCTAGCATATACCTTGTCTCGTGTCTCTGAGTGTTGTCTTACACTGTCCGAGTCAGGACTCCCAGCAGGCTCCAGACTTACACAGGAGGAATTACAGCTGGTCAGCAGTAACTCGCTCATCAACCCCTCTGCACAGCAGCAAGTCTAGTCTTTAGGAGCTTAGTGGGAGCTGAACTCATGCAGTGGAAGATGGAAGAGTAGCACCACACACCAGCTTTGAGCTACAGACATGGGACCTGATGCTGGTAAAGTATCTGAGATTATGGTCCTTTTCAGAACACTCAAATATGATGAGAAAAAAACCCCAAAAGAACAACAAAAAAAACCCCAGCTCAGTTTGTTACTGGTATTTTTTCCCATCTCTTCTCTTTCCTGTGCTGCAAAACCAGTCATTATCTCAGATCTCACTCAGAGAACCAGAAGATGAACACAACTATTGCACTTCCTCAGAACTAACTAGACACGAATACCTCTCCTCCCAATACTGATGAGGAAAATATCCTCAGTGAAGAGGCTAGGAGGAGCCTGCTGAGGAGTGCTCCTTAAGGCTTCTTGTATTATCATATATAATTATATATATATATAATTCTGCTCTGAATGAATTTCAGGCTACTGTACAAATCAAAGGACAAAGTCCGTCTACTTTATAGTCAGTAATTTCAAGTGACCCGAGGGTTTGTTTCAAGGCTAGCAAGCAATTATCTCACTTTAACTCTTGTTAGTAGCAGGGGTCTTGTTCTCGCCTTCCAGTTCTTCCACTCCTGCTTGTGTCATGAGGTCCGCTATGTTCTTCTCCAGGTCGTCTATGCGACAGCTCATGTCATCAAGTTCACTGGAGTTAAGGACCGTGATTGCAATCTAGTAGCAGTTGGGTTTTATTACAGCTTTGCTCAAACTCTTCTGTTCACATTAAATGTATCTTACAAATCCCCACTGATCAATACACTTTAAAATACTTATGATTCTATAGTGTATAGCACCTGACTTTAAAAAAGGATATTTCTTCCAATTATTTGGTCAGACATGGTTTGAAATTTGTCCTGCATTTGCTGAAGCAATGTCTGCACCTAGTAGAAAGGAAAAATAGAAGTCTGTTTTGTTTTCATTAAAGAGGTTGTTACAGTATTTGATCTCAAGTAATGAGATAAATACAACATTTTCTTTCACTGGTGAGCTCACCTGTGCACAAATTCTACCATGTAGTTCCATATTTAAGCATCATTTTTACATGTATATATGTACAGAGAGAAGAACTGAGGCTTGCAGTAAACAATTTTAAAGATCCAGAAAACGCCTGTGTTCCCAACCAGGACTAAACCCACAGCAGCTGCTTCCAGCGTCCTGTTACTCACACGACGACACTTCTTTCGGTATCAGGATAACAGCCTTCCTCTCCACACTCCCATGCCCTTACTCCTATCCACATCCCTCCCAGACGCAGGTGACTCCTCCGGGCACACGGAGGCCCCGGCTACCCTGGCTCAGCCCGCCGGGGAGCCGGCACCAGCAGAGCACTTCAGGTACGCGAGTGGCTTTAGTGCTGCGAGGGGGAACACGGCTGTGGCCGCGCTCCCGCCTCAGCCCTCCCCGCGGGACCCGGCACAAACAACTCTACAGCGGAAGCGGTTTATACCACGACCCGGGGGAAAGGCCCAGGCCACACCACCAGCCCCTCCACAGCAGGCAGACGCGGGTCACCCAAGCCCGGCCGTGCCGGCCCCAGGAGGCAACGCCCGGGCCCGCGAACGGGGCGAG